GCAGTGGAATAAAAAATATGGGAATTACTTGATTCGCGATGGGACATTTCTTGCTATCGCAAAATATCTGAGTGTTGGAATTAATGGACATCTCTATTTTTACCATTTCTGATAAGAATCGCTCCACTGGCTCATTGGACTGGATAAATTTTGCAGAAGAAATATTTTATCACCACAAGAAAAAATTAATCGCGAGTATCAGCCAGATGAAAAAAGATTTTTATAAAAAGTAACCCGAGTAACGATGCTTTTGAATAACGTTCATTCTATAATATTTCATTCGGTCACCATTTTACCATGCTTAATGAATATATACATATTTTTTGTTGTTGAAGAATCCTCACCATTACTGGTAAAACTCTCTCCACTGGCTTATCGCAATTGAGCAATATGCCATAGAGTCGGAATCTCTTGGCGATAGAAATAAAGGCGAGTCGCAAGCATCACCCGGGTTTTATACAGGTTTACTCTTGCAGGGGCAGGGAATCGAGCCTCAGCATCGGCGCTTCCAATTGAGCAACAACTCACTGAGCTCTCACCATTACTGGTTAGGTTTCCAAGCGGCGCGGTCTGATGCTATCGTCGACAGTAATGGAAGCCATTCCTTTTTCCATCATCTCAGTCCATATATTGCTGGCCCACCTATACCTTCAAAATCTTTTCTGACCGTATCAGTCCAGGTCTTGATTGGCTCACCTCGCTTTTGACGCCAACCGTCACACGGTTTAGCAAATAACGAAATATGTGTCAACTCCTGTGGTGGACGATGGAGAATGTGCCCTAACCAGCGAAGGCGGCGCTCTATGATAACATTATTTATGCAAGTGGTATTTGAACGAAGGTGGATGCGATCTTGTGAGATTTTATCCACTCGGCGAACCCGTAAAATATACCTTAGACAAGAGTGGTCAAAGGTAGATAACTTCTTAATATCCTCGACTCTCATTGGCCATGTCTCAGAATAATAAGATCGAACGGATCACGGCAATATAGATGCGGACTTTCGTTTTTATGGTGATTTCACGACGATTCCATAAAGGTTTTGTCAACCGGAAGAACACATTTCTAGCTGCCGTGATCCGAGTTATCATCTTTTGCCTGTCCATTTATTATTAGAGTGGACCCAAGATATTTGAAATCAGGCACTTCCTCAACCGGCAATGAATTTACAAAAAGAGGCATTTTATCCGCTTCTTGCATATAAGACGAAAAGACTTTCGTTTTATTTACATTGCTCCTGAGTCCGATTCTTGCTGCAGTTTCTAACACGTTATTTAGTATTACTTGCATTTCATTATAACTGTCAGCAAAAAGGACTACATCATCAGCATATTCATGATCTGTGATACGATGCTCTGGACTAATTCGGACACCTCTTGAGTGCCGACAAGCAGTGTCCATTATCCAGTCTATCGCATAGTTGAATATTGTGGGGGAAAGGACGCAGCCCTGACGGATACCTGTTCTTATTTCGAAAGAATCTGTCAGCTCCCCATATACACAGACTGCGCCGACGCTCATAAATGCCTTTATGAATCTAATGATTTTCTCCGGAAAACCGTCACGTTCCATCACCCTCCAAAGCACCGCTCTATCAACTGAATCAAAGGCAGCCGCAAAGTCGATGAAACACGTGACAGTGGGTTGCAAATATTTGAAGCGATGTTCCAACACCCTTCTTAACGTGAATATCTGGTCACCACAACCGCGCTCTGGTCTGAAACCGGCTTGATTAGGGTGCATCCTGCTCTCCCGTACTTCCATAAGTCTGTTGAGTAGCAGAGAAACAAAAATTTTTGCTGAGACGTCTAGTAGGCTGGTTCCTCGATAATTGTCGCAGTATATTCTATCACCTTTCTTGAGAATTGCTTTGCTCCAATCATTCTATCCTCTATGAATATATACAAATGGAATAAATGAAAATGATTTTATAATGAAGCTAATAAAATAAAAATAAAACAAAATTTCTCAAAATAAATTTTTATAAAATAAATTGAATAGCTTAAAGAAATTATTAAAAGTGAAGAAAAAAAAAGCGCAACAATAAATATGAAATGATCAATTATCAATATGCATATCATTTTTTTTGTTTTTTGAAATTCTATATTCTTTTCATTTGGCAGATTATATTCTTTTATTTAATTTTATTTATTTAAATATTTAAATAAAAAAAATATTTAAAATGTTTAGATATAAAGAAATATTTTAAATCGCACTCAATAACTATTGCTAATAGCTTTGCTCACTCAAAAACTATGCAATTATTAATTATTAAAAAAACAAAAAGTGCTATTAATAAAGTTTCTTAATTATATAATTATATGTGTTCCAAGAAAATCAACAAATCAACAAATCCTTTTAAATAAACATGGAAAAAATTCTTTATGGTTATAATTGACACATTGTAATATATTCATTAAATAAAGAATATTTCCCTAATAAAAATTTTAAGAAAATTTTTTTCGATTTATTTGTTTATAATTTTCAGTTTCTATTTTGAAGGTTTTTTATTTGAATTTCAAATTCGATCAATTAAGAGAGAAATAAGTTCATAAATTTAGCAATTTAATATATTAAAAGTATATATCAAATCTTCTTCTTTTAATAATTACTGATCACCATTGCTGATTAGGCTGACTCCTCTGGCTAGAAAGAGATAAGAATTCATCGCTGTAAGATAGCTGTAGAAGTCATTCCTATTTCTATCGTTTAAGTCCATACATATACATATATCGCTGGTTCGTTTATCCGTTCAAAATCTTTCCTAACTGTATCAATCCAAATCTTGATTGGCCCATCTCGCTTTTAACGTCATCCATCAGAAAGATTTAGTAAATTATATCATAAATTCTTAAAAGCTTGGATTCGATTCTATATTTATCCACTTTTTTTTACTTCTTTAATCGTTTACAGTAATGAAAAGATTTTAGTTCTTCGAAAGCGTAGTGAAATTCCTCAAATTGATTGTGCCCAATTAGAAATAAATAAGAATAGGCGGATAAATGTGAATGAAGGCTTGATTTGTATGAAATTAGACGATTCTTTCATTCCTTAAATTTGAAAAAAAAAATATGTATTACTGACTGTCTTCAGTCAAAATATTGAAAAATAATTCAAACTCCAGTTAAATCAAATGATAATGACGAAATGATAAAATATGATGATAAAATACTTTTTGTTATGATATGGAATATAAAATTTATCAGTTTTTTTCTCGATTTAACATGGAAAATTTCGAATCTTATCAGTAATAAATTCAGCGTCAATTCATTCAACGCCAGTTTTTATTTGCTGTTTCATTTTTAATTATCTCTAAATATAAATTTTTCAATTTTTCAACTTATCAGCCAAATATAATCAGATTATCAAATGAATAAATAGAAATATTTCCTTAAATTAATTAAAAACAACGAACTACAGCTAATTTAAATTTTATAAAGTGAGTTTTTGAAATTTGAAATTTGAAAGTGAGTGAAATTTTATAAATAAAATAATATTGAGAAAAAATAATAATTATAATAATAATAAAAAATAATAAAAAAATAATAATAATAAAAATAATAAAAAATAATATAATAAAATAAAAAATAATAATAATGAGAATAATTTTTATAATTATATAATTGTATAATTTATATAATTTAATTTATATAATTTTATAATTTTATATAATTTTTTTCTACAGATTTATTTTTTTCGCTAAAAAATTCACTATTCCATTTTTGAAATTATAACTAATGGTATTTTAATAATTATAATGATCTATTCAAGTTCCTTTAAAACTTTGGTGCGGCAAGTGCACCTGAATACCAATGAGGAAGGATGGGAATCGGGCATGTGGTGCACGAGAATGATGAAACGAAGTGGCTTGCAAACATCCTTCCCTTTCCCTTATCCTTTCTCTTCCCTTCTCTTTGTTCCCATATTTTTACTCCTCATCAAAATCCTCAAATGACAAAAATTGCAATTCCGGAGTTTATGGGATTGGCGTAACGAATGGTTTTCTTCCAATTCTCACCTTTCTCAATTTTAAAAAATATTCCGGAAAAACGCTAGCATAGATTATAATTTTAAGCCATAATGAAGTTTTCGCCAATATCATCCGAATATAGGAACTATCTGGTCCATGACGGGAACGATGATAATGCGACCATCATATCCATATTCTTCCGTACTTTTTATTCGCTTCTGTCTTATTTTTCGTTACTATTTCCCTATTCACCCAATCTTTTTCTTTCTTTTTTTCTACTCCTCCATTTATATTTCTCTTCACAACAACATTTCCTTATCACTAAGCGATAAGTGATGGAACAATCAGGTAAATGCTTTACTAATATAACATGCTGAAATACCATAAAAATTTAAAGAAATTCGATGATTTGAGGAATTGATATGAAAGAAAAACATTTCTGTTGCTATTACGATTTCTGACGTGTCATTTATCTGCATGAAAGAAAAACATTTCTGTTGCTATTACGATTTCTGACGTGTCATTTATCTGCCTCTTTCATTTTAACTAGTCCTTTTTTCAATCTCTTTTGTCCTCTCCACCGTTACTTCTTTGTATATACTTTCATGTCCTATAGTGAGTGAGTGAAAAATAATAATGCTAACGTCGTGTCAAATAAGTGACAAGAATATTAATTAATATGTAATATGAAAAAAGTATGAAAATTAGTTGCAAAAATATATTTTGCCATGAAACGAAATAAAATAGGTTATAAGCAATAAAACCTAAGATTACAAAAAGAAAAGAAAAAGAAAAGAACAAATTAGACTTGGAAAATTCCGCATAAAAAACTGCATAATGAACAGATATGACAATATTCTTGCAGAATTTTTTTTAAAAGTCTTTCAGAAAAAAAGCACCCTTAGCATCAATAGAAACAAAAATGAATTGGAACTTTTTTGACAAAAAATTAGCTTAATAAATGAAGAATATTAGAACCTAAAGTTAGGGTTAATGTTCGCATAGAATAATATAGCTAAACTATTTATTTTTATTCATCTTCGGAGCTGTCGTTACTGGTTGGCGGTACAGGAAAGCCATGTTTCATATCATTTGCTGGCCAGTCATATGTAACATTAATCATTTCGTCATAAGATGTGGAGTATATTTGCGCTCTAACAAATTGCTCCAAATCCTCGGGTTGTGGATATAAATCAGCTGTGCCATTCTGAAAAATATATTTTCATACACATTGAGTCTTTTTCGATATTCATCCCCCGACTACTAATTTACTTCAGCAGGCGTAGATTACCAGAAAAATGAAGAACCATTAAAGACTGTGGGCCAAAATGAAATCCAATATTCTAATTAAACGACAGATATATTGATGGAATTTAACCTATTTTTACCCGTGATTCTTATAATTTGTATTTAAATGAATTATTATTATATTTAATGCAATTTGTGATTAAAATGTAAAGTTAAATAAAAATCCAATAAATACTTTGTAACAATATTTCGCCATTTCGACAGCTATTTGTATGGAAATCTCGCGCACTCTCTTCAGATGTGGAAATATTCGCCCGACGGAATAATCGTGGTCGCTCACACATGAAGCAACTTTCTGAAATTAGATTAACTAAAATTTTCAGATGAAATTCGTCATTTACATATTTTTTTTACATATTTCGTCAAAATTTCTGCATTAGCGAAAAGAACTAAGGAATGAAAAAAGCAAATAAAACTTGCTCGAGCAGCAAGAAGGAAAATATCGTCGCCGACGTGTCTAACTTTGAACAATATTATTCCGAGAGCCACCCCGGGGAAAATGTACGAATTATTTCCCTGTCCCGGTTTGAAAATTTTCCCATTCAGTTCCACGTTTGGAAATGGACTGCCACTCGCGAATAATACTCGTCCCTGCATAAATGAATTAGAATAATTCGGCAAATAAAAAATTATAAGCAACTGATAAGCAATTTTATATAAAAAAATTTGAACAATAAATGAAATGCACTATATATTTATGAAAATTTCTCAATTTTAAGCCAAATTCAATTATACAAATAAAAAAAATTAATTTACATCTGTAAAGCGGTAAGCCTCTTCTGCTGTGCATTCCGATTTATTGGTCGGATTCGACAGAGAGAATATTATAGGTCGTTCATTGATTTTGGCCATGGTACGAATGATTTCTTCGGTGAAAGCACCCTTAATCGTTGACGCTCCTATAATGGCCGTCGGTTGAATAGTTTCAATCACCTAAAAATTAAATTTTAATAGCTTATAATGTTCCAATGGTCCGTTCGCATATTTTTACTATTTAATTATTATTTAATTGTTAAATAGCAAATTCATAAGTGTAAATAAATGTTCGGATGAATAATTTAAGTTGGCCATTAAAAGAATCTCTATGAAATGCTGTGTTGTGCTTTACTATATTACAATTTATATGCACAGTCGAAAAAAAAGCCATTTATATCTCGAGAAATTTGCGAAGCGATTCTCACAAAAATTTTGCTAAATTCTGTTCTTTAGATTTTAAATTCAGCCTATTCCGTTTAACACTGACTGATATAGTGAAATAACCCTTCCATCCTCGAAGGCTGTTGCTGTATTCTTTTAATGCAATCCATAGGAAAAATCATCTTAAATCTCTGTCTGCCAAATTGACATCTTCAAATCTAATATCACATTTTCCCGCTAGATTGCCTTAACGCCCGTCAAAGCTCGTACTTCTGCCGAATTTGCATAAATTTACATAGAAATTCAAAGAATATAAACATAAGGTAAGTAAGATGTCGAAAGAGTGTGCACCGCGAATTAGGTGGCTTTAAGCGAGAAATATGAGAAAATTTGTGGAGGTATGAATGGCTGAGAAAGCAGGACAGCGTTTCACGACAGTTCTGACCATAAAATTTTTCATAAAAGAATTCTCGATTATAAATGAGAAATAAAAGAGTGGAACCTTTTCTTGGGGATATACTCAATTATAATAGAGTCAAATTTGCTCTTTTTAAAAACACTCAACATTACGAGTTAGATTCGCTCCTCTGGCATATCTGGCTTATTGCACAAATATGCCAGGGAATTCCTTAGCGATAGAAACACAAGTATGTCCACAGCATCATCCGGAAAAGTATCAAATGCAAAACAAAAAGTGATAAAGACAAGAAAAGTAAAGGAAAGAAAATTTAATAACCTCAAGCAATGATTTTGTTGGAGGTATATTTTTAGCAAAACGATTGTGCATTTCCTTGATTGGTTCCGATCTTGTTTTTGTAATTAGACCTTTACTATCCATTAAAAATATTCGATTTTGTGCTTCTTCTTTCGACAATCCTTCACTTTCCATTTGCATTACAATGAGATCGGCAATGCCAGTTGATGCCTAATTTTTATTATTTTTTTAATGAATTTTTATAATGAAAAGGATAAAACTAGGATAAATGAATAAAACTAGCAAAGTATTTAAAAACTTTTCAACAATTCAACGATTTAAAAAAAAAGAAAATATTAATTATTTAAAAAAGAAATCAACTCACAGCTCCAGCACCAAGGAATACAATTTTCTCCTGCGACAGCAATCTGTTAACGGATCGAACAGACGAAAGAAGCCCAGCAAGGCAAACCGCAGCCGTTCCTAGAAGTATGTAAGGAAAAATATTGCTTCAAAACACTGTGGTTCTGACACAGTTTGCTAAGTTTGCTAATATCGAAAATCTTATTGAAACGAAACAAAGCTAACCAACTGAAAAATAATAACCTTGGATATCATCATTAAATACTGTGTATTTATTTCGATATCGATCAAGGAAAGGATACGCATTAACATTGGCAAAGTCTTCGAATTGGACGAGTGTATTTTGGCCAAACCTAAAAATATAACAAAAAGGAGGCAAAAGACCGAGGCAAAAGATAAAAAAAAGTTAAATAAAGTTTTTCCACAATCCAAACATGCAATCTCAGATATTACGAGACATTATGAAATTTTCAAGTCCTTAAAAATCAGCGAAACCGTTGATCAGTGAAAAAGGCAATAGGGAAGAAAAAAAATTACTTCTTGGTGACAGCCTTCATAAAATTATCAACGAATTTCACATAAGCTTCACCACGAACTCGTTGACGACGTAAACCGATGTAAAACGGATCTTTCAGCAATTTCTAAAATTTCGATAAATAAGAAATCGGAAATATTTCAAAAAAATGTGAATAGAGAAGCAACAATATGAAGAAATATTCATAATTAACTGTTAAAATAGGACAAATAAGGAAAACAAGAGAAACAAGTAAATCAATATCACAGCAGAATTAGAATCGTAGCATATCAAAAATAACCTCATTATTGGTGCCAACGTCCAACAGAACTGGAAGACACCATTTCGGTTGCACACCGCCTAAGGCCACATATAAAGCAAGTTTGCCGACGGGTATACCAATACCATATGCGCCCAAATCACCCAAACCAAGAATTCTTTCACCATCAGTGACGACGATGGCCTAAAATTCCATCAAAAAAATTTAAATGTCCTATAAAATTTCGAAAATTTATAAGAAAAATAATGCACAAGGAATTTTCGCCTTTCGTGTTTTCCTACCAAATTAAATGCAACATTTCGACTTCGCCAAAAGGAAAATCGAGTTCAGCAAGTAATTAAGCAATTGAAAGCAACAAAAGGAAACGCACCCTCACATCGTTTTCTGGCCAATTGCTAAGAATGTGATGAATTTTACTTATGCTATCATCGTTGATTGTTACATAAATGCCTCTGCAAGAATTTCATAGAAATTTTTAAAATTTAAAAATTTTCAAAAAATTTTGGATTAATTTTCAGATAAATTCGAATTTTTAGCATAAATATTTTAAATATTTAATCAATGAAAAATATTCTTTAAATATTTTTTTAAATATTCAATATTTTTTAAAAAATTTTCGAAAAAAAGTATTTCAATAAATTTATTTCAATTTTTCAATAATTCCAGTAATTTTAATTAATTCAAAAAATTTTGGAAATTTTTAAAATTTAAAAATTTTCAAAAAATTTTCGAAGAAAATTTATTAAAAAAAAGAAAATTTACGTGATCCATTAATTCTTTTTTACCGCATAATTTTCATTATAATATAGAATATCGAGAAAGTTTGAATAAAAAAGTTTAGTTCCGATTTGCTTTTTGCTTTTCTAAGAAAGTAAAAAAATCACAAAGAATAAAAAAAAGCTTATTACTACTAGCGATATGGTGCTTTATGTGAAAGAACTGGGGAATAAGCTATTTTTCCAGCCTTAAAGACCAAGCATTTTTCAAGTAATATTGGTAATCGATCGTCCGTAGATAATTATTGAATTGAAATACCTATCGAGAATTATTCACATCAAGCGGAATGACACAAGAAATAGCAGAGACACCAAAAATATCAAAACGATTGTCTATTTCCACATATAAAAAATTGATGCTTTGTTATATATTAGAAAACGAATCGGTTATGACATGGGCCAGAGACCTTATGGCAAAATAATAGTTGGCCAAGGTCAAAGTATACGAATAGATCATATAAAAAGATCGTATAAACCACAGCAAAAATGGGCACCAGATTAATATGAATATGAATAAACTGAAGTATTATTAAATATATTACACATTTAAATGCTTGAAAAATTTATCAATTTTTAAAAAACTTGGACCAATTCTTATATCGAATAAACAAAATCGGATAGCCGTAGTCTCATTCTGAAATTATCGAAAATAAAATGAGAATCTGCATCTGTTTCGCTACGTAAAAAATATCTTATACGTTTGCGAAACTAATGAGGATGAAAAATACCAAGAAGCTATCAACTGACCACTGGTGCCTATATTTGATCGCTGCATTAATGGTGTTACCAGCATTTATGCTGTTTAGATCATATTTCCGACATACCTCGTCACATTTTCTAACGAATGGAGTAATGAGTAAAGATTGGAGTGATTTAGCGAATGGAGATTCTGAAAGCTTAGATAGCCAGAAGATATTTGAGCTTGTACGATTAAAATAATAATTCTTATTATTATTGTATTATTTTAAAATATAAATTGGAATTGGATACACAGAATCGCCTTATATTGGTAGCCGATAGAGCAAAACTGCTAGAAAAAGGAGCTCTACTGCAAAAAAAATTATCTCCATGTCGAATGGAACTCGAATCGAAGCTCCGACACTTTTCTATCAATTATTCATTCAAATGAAACAACTATTTTAATTAAATGAATCAAAAAATAACAGCAAATACGAAAAAAGCAAATACATTTAGCCAAAATGAAAAAAAGTACCATATTACTCCAGAAAATTACCGGTACTTACATCTTCCTGAGTATTTGCAAAAAACTATTTGCAGATTTGTAAAATTTCATCGTAGCTACAGTTATTTTAGCACGACAGATAAACCTCAAGCAATTTTCAAACTAACGAAGTTCTGGGATGATGAGATCTTCTCAAAGGCAACGAAAATTTGTGGAACGCTTGCTTAATTAATCAGGAATAAATTTTTCATAAAATCGTCCTCCTCGAAATATTTCTTCACAATTTCCACAAAAAAACTGACATATAATTCGCTAGCAAGTAAATATTATTGCAATATCACTAATGATAAATTCTTGGAAATCAATCGCTATAAAAATTTTTACAAAAGATTTTTCTAAAATAAAAAAAAAAGATCAAAGGAAAAATATTTAAAAATCACCAAAAAGATTTTTTTTCTAATCGATTAAACTAACTTTGGTTTTCGATAGATATAACCAAAATTTTGACACGCTAAGCCAACTGTTGGAGTATAAACGATTGGCATTAGTTCTTTAACATGTTCGCATATAACTCGGTAGAATAATTTTTCATTGCGATCCTGAAAGCAAAAAAAAAAAATCGCTTATGAGAAATAAAAAATAAAAAATACATTCAATATATAATAAATAATATAATAAAACCAAACTTGTAAACCGTCAAGTTGAATATATTTGGCCAAATCATTCGGTTGAGCTCGAAGTTTTGAAATAACACGATATACCTGTTGTTCTTCTGTCATGAAAGCTGGTGGTAATAATCCATGAAGACCGAGATATTGTCGTTCCTTAAGGCTAAATGCCATTCCCTGAATAAATTTTGAATTTTGTATTTTTAAAATAGATTTTAAAAAATTGTAATCTTAAAAATTTTAAAAATTTCTAACTTATTTCATACGTAAATTTTTTTCATAAAAATATTTTATAAGAACTTTTTTATAGAAAATTTTTAAAATTTAAATAGAAATTTCATAGGAAATTTGAAAATTTCAATAAATCAAACGATATTACAGCAAAATTTTGGAATTTTTATTTTTTCTCCTTTTTTCTCCTATTTTCTCTTATTTTTTCTGCTTAGTGAAAGAATTCAAAACCAGTATTTTATAAAAATTTTAACTTATGAAATTTGAGAAATATTAGATTTTTTTAATTCATTGAAACTGCTTTTGAACATTAAAAAAACATTATAAATTCGTTAAATTCAAGGTTATAAAAAAAACAATAAAGAAAAATAAAAAAATAAAAATTCACTATAAAATCGATATAATAAACCTTATTTAAACGAGGATCCTTTAGTAAATCGGTTCCACGAATCTTTGGTAATTCTCGTTCAGGGCGGTACAATTTATATAATTCCAATTCTTTTTCACTCATTTTTGATACGTCTGGCGTTTTACTCGTTGAATATAGAAATGCACAAGTTACACCGCCGAATGACCTTTAAATGAAAGGACAAATACATAAAAATAAATATATATTTCTTTTATTGAATAAATACTATATCACCATGAACACCACTCAAGTATATCATTAACATATTTTTAGTATCACGTCGACACAGCTGCAATCGCCTCATCGATAATATTACAATCGTAGCACTTCTCTGTAATATTACGAAGGTAATATCTTGCCAAGGTCATTAGCAATGACATAACAATCATCCCACAATTCCTCTTCCAAGAGCACTTGCAGGACTTCTATCAAGACGATGAACGTTAACCAAAGAAACACTTAAGGGATGAAAGGAGAGATGGGAGCTGGGACTTCAACATCACGATAGATTTCATTAATGACAGACAGAGTTCTCTAGCGGAATCAAAAAGCAAAGTCGTAATGCTCCGTTGCAGCAAAACACCATAGCACCATCACCAAAGACCTTATATTATCAAATCCACCAAAAAACTTTCATAAAAAGCATTTTATCCGTGATTTGTGTGCACCACGCAATTAGAGATTTATTTGACAAAGGCATAATTAAACGATATTAAACGAAATCCAAATCCAGCTTGACCCATTACCACCATCACTGCCATCATCAATACTAATCGAATCGAACGCAATCCCTCACCATCACCATCACCACCACCAATACCAATCGAATCCAACCGATTCCCATCAATCACCATTGCCACCACCAATACCAACCGAATTCAACCCATTGAAAATTTCTGTGAGAAAGCATTTCACCATCAATCACCATCGCCGCCACCAATACCAACCGAATTCAACCCATTGAAAATTTCTATGAGAAAGCATTTCACCATCAATCACCATCGCCGCCACCAATATCAACCGAATTCAACCCATTGAAAATTTCTATGAGAAAGCATTTCACCATCAATCACCATCGTCACCACCATTAACAAAAATATCGAAATATAAATTTTATTATATAAAAATTAGGAAATTTTGTGAAAATTCCACCAACAATCTCTACGATTATCTTAAAAATAATCAATGAATATAAAATGAAAAATTTCAAAAAAGATTTTAATGAAAAATTTTTTTAAATGAAATGAAATTAAATAAAATAACAGAATTAAATATTTAAAGAAAGATTTTTTTTTTTAAATGTAAATACAAAATTATTTTTGATTTATAACTTTTTTATCTTTTAAAATAATAATAATTAATAATAATTTTAACTTTATTTTGAATAAAAAATAAGAAATGTGAAATTCAATATTTGTCTAATTTATATATATAAATTATATAAATAATTTATGTTTAATTTATATTTTTATATTAATTTTTATAAAATATTAAAAATAAAAAAAAACTTAAAAAAAAATTACTTGGATTTGTGAACAGTTTTGTTGATGAAATTCATTTTATTAGCAAACATTTTCTAGAAAAAAAAAAATTATAAATTAAAAAAAAAAGAACGAATAAAACGATTTATATTCACTAGCGAAATTTAATTTAATAAATAAATTTATTGTATAAAATAACGAAAAAAAATTCTCAAATAATAATTCGGATAAATTTCCATCCCCTCCTCCCACGCTAGTTGAATGCCAAAGTTCCATCCCCCACTAGTTGAATGCTGAAGTTCCATTCCCCCCCCCCAGTCGAATGCTAAAGTTCCATTTCCCCACTAGTCGAATTTCCATTCTCCCCATTAGCTGAATACTTATGAAAACCAATTTGGTATTTCAATGATTCATTCATTCACTAATTGATTTTGTAGAATTAATGAAATTAATCAAATTAAAAAAATTATATGCTTTATTAGAAAAAAAATAGGGAAAACAGCATTACTACTAATTATTATTTAAATAATTTTTATGAATAATAATAATTTTAATTTTTATTACTAAAAAGCCTAAAAAAACAAAACTCCACAACGAATGATGACGATGATTTGCATCAAAGCAACATCTTTTAAACATTTCTATCCAATCAATATATGTTTTATATAAAAGTAGGCAGGGATTATGCGTTGAACTGGCAGAGAATGGAACTATCCTAGGAATATATGCACAATATATACTTTCGCCAGACTAGGTGGGATATTCCATTGAAAAAACTGTAGAAAATAATAAAGCTAAGATCGTGTGCAACTTCTTTCATCCCAACAGGCGAACAAACTGATATGATTATGCAAGAAGAACAAGATCGCTGGTGATATCTGAGAAGAGGAACTAGAGAATATGCGGAAAGTAGTCAGTAATGCCAGTAGCAGTTCTAGAAGCTGTGACTTCTAAACTAGCAAAAATGGTTTTAATAGATTCCAAGAGCAAAACATCAGGACATAGGGGATAGGATGGCCCAGTGGGTTATTGCTCAATCGGGAGCGCCGACGCTCGATTTCCCGCAGGAGTAAACTTGCACACAAAATCCGGGTGATGCTGGCGACTCACCTGTATTTCTATCGTCAAAGGGACTCCCTGGCATATTCCCCAATGCGAGAAGTCAGTGGAGCGAGTTTAGCCCATAATGTTGAGAACTCTGTAAACCAGAGAGATTTCGAACGAGAAGGGCGCACTGCTCGGAACACAGCCTAAGATATTGCGCAGAACCCCCAAACTCTCCCACGCTTCTCGTTGGAGAACGCCACGTTGAGAAGGATTCGTATCACTCAGAAAAGTGGAAAAGACGGGTTTTTTTTTAATATAAAAGAGGGATATATTTATATCAAAGCGAAAAATGCGATAATTACTTAAATTTAAAGATTTTTTGTCGATCAAGCAAAAATAAAAATTCTCGTCGATCAAGCAAAAATAAAAATGAATCATTTCATCATTTTTATTATAGTTCAATTGTTAAATTAGTGATATATATACTTTGAATGAAACAAAAATTGTAGAAAAAATTGTAATAATAATAAATAAGGCAATAATCAAGCAAAAGAAAAATTACCAAGAGGGAAAATTCACTAAGAAAAAAGTTATACGTTTACCTAGTTTGGTTCCACTCCGCTAGTTGTTGTTTAATTAATACGATGGTACTAAAGAAATGTTTAAATGGATTATCACTATGCACCAAAATTTATCATCAAATCTACAAAATAACCATTCGACTTATTAAAATATCGAAATGAAATGAGAAAAGAAAGTTTTTTTTTTATTTATTTTGCAAAAATTTGATTTTGAATGATAAGGGAATGATATTTACAACGATTTTTTAAAAAAAAATCCTTTTTTTAATTCTTAAATCTATTTTTTAAAATACATTTTTAAAAAGGATAAAAATTTTATAGTTAAAATATATTAAAATATATATAAAAATTATAAATATAAAAATATGTGATTTTTTATTATTTTCTTTTGAAATAAAATGCGAACGTAGAGTGAGTAAATGAGTAAATGAATGGTTTAGTTAATTTGCTAGATGACAGTCATTTATAATAATAAAATGATAAGAAGTACGAGTAAATTGTTTATAAAATCGCTCGTATAGATATTTACCCTTTTCCTATGCGAGCAATGAGCAATGCTCGAAGCGATAGTCAGTCGGTTAAACTTCCCGCTCATCCCTCTTCTATTTGATTTAAAAAGATCGTTAAAATTAGTGCTAATATAGAATAAAATAGAAATGAAAATAAATAAGTAAAAATGCGATTTATTATTTTCATGAAAAATTTTTCATAAAATTCGACAAATATCGATTTTATCAATTTTTTCCAGTTTTATTTTTTTGAAAAATTTCCTTCAGCAATATTTTCGTTTGCCGATCACTTTAAAATACGGAAAAAAAAGAGCAAAATATGAACGTTTACACAATAACGTTTCAGCGCTATAAAAATAAAATAATAGAATTTCATAATTTTTAAAAAGATATAAACATATGCATTTTTTTTAAAACTATTAAAATGCATAAATGCAACATGAAATACGATAAATTATCACGAGGGATCAGAAATATTATCAGAAGTCGGAAGTCAGAAAAATGTTATCAGAAGATAGTTATCAGAAGAAATCAGAAATTAATTAGAACGAGTTTAACTTTTTGCTTCTAATGATAATCAGTTAAAATATCTATTTATTGACTTAATAATTTATTTATAATAGAAAACAATTTAATGATAGAAGTATAAGTAGTTCGCCAGTTATCAGCCATTGTTTCATCGTTTAAGAACAAGTTTGCCAAATGGCCAGCGCAGAACATTACTTACCTTAGGTCGATAAGCATAAGTATTGCATTTATCATATTTGAATTTGAAAAAAATATAAAATATGAGTATTATTAAAAATATCATATTATTATTATATTATTTATAAAAATATTATTATATGAAAAATATTTATTATTTATTTATATTATTATATTATTATTATAATATTTAATATTATTATTATATTATATTATTATACTTATATTTATTATTTACTTATATATATATATAATATTTACTTAAAATATTATTTACTTGATGTATATATGATTTCTCTAAAATTTTATAATTATAAAATTATTAATAAAATTATAAAAAAATCTATAATTATATTTATAAATTATTAATTGTATTATATTAATTAAAATTATAAAATTAATAATAAAAAAAATTAAAATTTAGATTTTAAATTGGAATTCTACTATAAAGCATAAGCCTTTTGTAAATCTTCTTTTATGAATCGTAGTGATGGCTCCTCATTAGTACTTCCATTGCCAAGTGATTTGTATGATTAGCCAGTGATAAGCCAGTGATAAGAGTCTAAATCGGTTCTTAGTAAAATGAAAATATTTTAAAGGATAAATGATGAATTGTATTGAAATGGATCGTTCAAAATTTCAATTATCATCGATGAAATTTTATATCAATGCGAAATTTAACGATTTTAATATGGACATTAATTGCGCATTTCCGTTGTGTTTTTAATTTTTTTTTAATTTTTAATTTATCACAATAGTTTTTTTTCTTTTAAATTAGATAAATGTCAATTTAAAGAGTGTTAACAGTGATAAAGAGTGTTAACAGTGAAAAATAACTTGTGAATTATGATGTTATTATTTTTTCCGATTTATTTCTACGTATTTATTAAGAAATTTCGATAAAGAAAATTTTAGGAAATTTTTAAAATATTTTATTTTTCTATATTTTTATTCATATCTTTTTTTTTAAATTAATTATACCAACATTTATACCAATTATTAAGGAATTAAATGAAGCCGAAGACGATTTGTTCCAATAGATTTTTTTTTTTCGTTTTAACCTAAATTTTGTCGACAAATGGAATTAAAAATTCTCTTTATAAAGGCCAATATTAAATTGGAAAAGGAAAAGAATGAAAATCGAGCTAATTTTTTAATATTAAAATAAGTTGATAAAAAAATAAATAATTTACGATCATATCTGATGGTCAGCACTTATCATTTCTGGTTGAGCTAATCATTCTACTGACTGTTAATACGATTAGAAATTTTTATCAGCGAGTCATTTAGCGATAGAGATAAATCTGAGTGCCACTCGAGCTTAAATAATAAATTTGAAACAATATGAATAATTGTGAAGCAATTTTTCAAAATTTTCAAGAATGGACATGTAATTCATATTTTATTTTTATTTAGAAAATTTAATTATATTTATATTATATTTATTATAAAATTATTATATATAAAATTATTTAGCAAAATAGCAAAAAATTAGCAAAAAAAATTGGCAAAATCTCTAAGCTGAAGTTCCTACAGGAGGATAAAAACCGAGTGAAAAATCCGGGTGATGCTAGCGACTCACTTGCTTTGCCAAGGGACTCTCTGGCATATTTGTTCAGCGCCATAAACCAACGGAGCGAGTAATGGTGAGGACTTTTAGAAAAAAAATTGGTGAAAATTGAAGAGGTTGTTTATGGCGTATAACCATTTGTCGATAATAGTATAGTTGGGTTTGAATTTATGTCAGCGAACTACCATAAAATTTAGCGATCTACCACATAAGCCATAATTTATAGCTCAATAATATAGCGAAATGAGGGAAATATGAAAAGAGGGGTTGTGATTTTATAGCTCCGACACTAATAAATTTTTACAAATTACGATGGAACAAATTATTGTTTAGATAATTGCTTTCCTAATATATCTCAGATTATGGTTGCCATCGAATGTTTTTACGTTGAAAGTACCACTGAAGCTAAATTCGAATGATCGATGATAACGACGACGAAGTACCAAAGTGAATATGAAGATGAGGGAAAGCGATATAAAATTGGTTCGGATTCATATGTTAACAAGGAGTCTATTTTTAAGAATGGTGAATAGAAGAATGGTGATTATTTAGGTGATAAATGATAATCGAGGAGAAAAAAGAATCGTACTGAAATTGATCGAAAATTGATTGAGAAATCGAATTGATCGAGTAAATTCTAATTTTCAGTTGATAAAGAAAATTATCACTCTAATTTATGTCGGAAAATTTCGTCTGCGCTAAATTTGTCGCCCACCACAAGAGTTGACACATATTTCGCTATTTGCTAACACTCTGTGATGAACAGCGTCAAAAGCAAGGAAGGGCCAATCAAAATCTGCAGTGATATAGCCAGGAAAAGATTTTGAATGGTAGCCAAACGATAGACGATGGAAAAATGAACAGTTTCAGCTTCGTTTAAAAAATGGCAAGCGAATCAAGAGGCTTAGACTGATAAGATGAACCAAATTATCAATTGGTCCAAGCTTCTCTAGAAGAAGAAAATCTCATGCCTCTTACAACTTTTTCTGTTATTTTATACGCGTCTTGGATTGATAAAGTATCAAACAATTTATTACTGCATGAGTCTGACGAATCGTTTCAAATAAACTATGAATGATAAGCATTAACAGTTTATTGAATAATAAATTTTGAGCTGTTACAATCTGTCGTTAAATTTTGAATTACCTGATTAGATAATTGATTGGGTTTGGCGTCAAGCCAAATTTTCCTGAGTGGAATTTCGTTGTTCCTTGGCCAAATTTATTTTCTTTTGTTGCCAATTTTTTGAATTTTTGCAATTTGATAGAATGAGAAATATTTTTTCACAAAATGTTTTTTTTAAAGAGCGAAATTTGCAAAATTTCCGATTTTTTTTAAGTAAATTCTTTTATTCCGTTTTTATCAATATTTATATTTATTGTAATAATTTTATTAGAGTTATAGTTTTCAAATTAATACTTTTTTATTTCGCAAAAGCGTTCACCGTATCTGATAATGGCTCGCTCGTCTGGCTTATCAGATCTGATAATTTTCTTATCATTTGGAGAGAAGAGAAACATTTCCCTATGGACCCCTAGTATTATCAGCCCGCTTTAAAAAAAAGTTAGAATAGGAGTAGAACTTCAGCACTGATTCTTCGAAATGAGAGCAACAAGTACCAATGAAGTGTTCTAAGTTTTCCCTTGGCTGTCAGTGGTAATATTTATAAGCTAATATTTAATGATAAATTCGTGAATGGTAAATGGTAAATAAATAATCACTGTTTAAGAAATAAAACAAATATAATGCATCTAATTAAATATCAGTTAGTATTATTAGATTTATTATTTAGATTATTCATATTAAATATCGATTACAAAGAATATACTCATAATGCGCCAAATTATACGACTGTCTTTGGCTTTGCTAATATTAAATACGGTTTTCATCATGAAGCGAACTCATGAGCTGATTTTTTTTCAAGAAAAAAATAACTAATTCTCAGCTTTTTTTTTGAGCACGGTAGCCGAATAGTTGTTATTGCTTAGAGTGTTAAAATTCAAAAAAATTTGGACAGTGATTCCAGTTAAAATATTTGGTTTTCATTAAAAAGTCAGGACTTATTCTTCTATCTGCAGTTGATTCGGTGGGAAGAATTTCTCTCTATGCAAATAGCTAACGAAATGAACCCATGCTGAAATGGTGCGAGTTTATTTTCCTTCCTCTCAATTTTTGGTTCCTTGATTGGTCCGATTAGTTGATCCGATTTCAGTTTTATTTAGATTTCTTTCATAGCAGAACCTTCTGTTCCATATTACGCTCTTCAAAATCAAGAATATTATTCGTGTATAATAATTTATTATCGTTAGGCTTTGCATAATGCTCTATTGGACGTTGTTTTAGTTAAGTTAAGTTTGATCGAATGTCTGAAAGTTTGATCTGATTACTTTTGAAGTTAATTGTTGTCCAGTTTCTCATTTTTCATCTTTAGATGGATAAAGCAATGCTTCAGAATCATCAGAAAAAATTTCTAAATAAGAAATTTGCAAAATAAAGTTTTTATTTATTAGAGCAGTTTTTTGTACGTGCCAATTTGAAAATTGTCCCGGTAATTTTTCGATAAACTATAAACTATAATCGATGCCTTTTTATTTAACATTAAGTTTTAATTTTTTTTCCTATTTTTCTATTTTAATTTTCCTATTTTTTCTAACTTGCCCACTTAGTGTATATTTAACTGATTTTTTTTTTGCGATATTGTGATGTTTCTTACCAGCATTTTTAACTTACAGCCATTTGTTTGCTGTTCAATTAGTTTTTTTCATATCTTTCCTTAGTTATTTTTTCGATATTATGAAAAATTTTCACGTGAATATTATTCATTGTTAATTTATAGGAAGTGTGAATGGAGAGAATTCAAATGTCAGATACAGGAGAATGGGTTCAGCAGTATTCAGCAAATGTGGTTATTCATAATTTTTTTTGTTGTAAAGCCGTTCATCTTCATGTTTTGCCTTAGTGATTTCATTAGTTCTGTGGATTTAGAATACATCTTTGTCATATACTTTCATTCTCATATTTTTATTAGTTCTTTTAAATAACTTTATGGAATGAATTATTTTACATTAATTTAAAGTAATTTCACAATATTTTACCTGATGTACAATGATGTGGATATTTTGCAGGAGGAATATCATCCATTTGTAGAAGCACTCTTGCCTTATGTAAAAGACTTCAGTTATATTTGGTTTCATTTGCAAGCAAGAAAACGGCGATTTACGAAAAAGAATGAGAAACGTATGTCAGTCTTCGATGAAAAAAAAGCCAAAGATGATTTAATGGTATTGTACGATTTAATTAAAAATTAAATTATTCAAATATTCAAAGCGTTTATAAAATAATTCTTTTTAATAATTCGTTTAATTTTTTTATTTATGGTTTGTTTTTTTTTTTTAAATTTGTTTTAATATTATTTTAATATTATATTATTTTTTTGCAGAACGAAAGTGCTGAGTTGAAGCAAAAGTGGGCTGGAAGATTGCTTGGAAAACTTCGTCGTGATATCCAACCCAATTACCGTCAGAATTTTGTTTTATCTGTAACTGGTCGCAGACCTGCTATTTGCGCTGTATCAAATCCTGATCAAAGAGGAAAAATGCGAAGAATCGATTGTTTGCGGCAATCTGATAAAGTCTGGCGTTTGGATTTGGTTATGGTCATATTGTTCAAGGTAAATATTATAATACTACTGATTTGTGATATCTTCTATTTTTTAGAGGCATAATCCATTTCACGTTAATACGTTAATAAAAAGACTAAAAAGTCATAATTGGAAAAAAAGAAAAGAAAATTCTTCTAAAAAAAGAGGAAAATTATAAAAATGATAAAACAAAAGTAAAAGATGTATTTCATATATTTGAACTTCATATTTTTTGTATTTGTCCACATTTTTCAAAAATGGAATTTTATTCATTTCACGAGTATGGATCTGTATAACTATAAATTAAACGTGTTTTACATTTTCAAACATTTTTAAATTCCATCATTTGTGGGAGCAAATTTTTACATAAATAGTTATATATGTTAGCGAAGACTTTCGTTCAGGCTTACTTCTCGAGTCGAGCAGTTAATAAAGGTAAAAATTTATTAAAGAGATATTTGGAGATAAAATTATAAGTGAGTACACCATTATGAACACCATTTTCTAATAATATTCCTGTCGGAGAGCTGAAGCCTTGATTTTCAACAGGGTAATCCACTTACTCCATGAAATGGTTAACCACGGCTATCCTAATCCATGTTAATGAGGTTCCCGATATTTGCAAACTGGGTATAATGATATGATTTATAAAAGGCAATAAAAGGTAGTAAAGGTAAAGAGATTTTTGAGTGGAAATGAATGGAGTAATGGAGTAAATGGAAAATAATTCATGCATCCCAAATTCAGGCAGTGAATTTCGGAGTTAACGAGTTTTTTTGTGGGCAAACTGACTTGCATTTTGAAATTGTTTTATGCATAAATAAAGAATTCAAGGGCATACCACTGGAAAGCACTGATGCTGAACGTCTCGAAAAGTGTCCTGAATGTGAAAATCCATCTTTGTGCGTTAATCCATATCATATAAGCATAGCGGTTCGAGAACTCGATTTATTCCTGGCTAATTTTATTCATACAAATAATCCTGATCGTCCAGATGAGGAGGATGAAGAAGATATCGATTCCGGTAAGGTTTTTAATATGGTTAATATATAATATATTTTGTTTTCGAAATTTGATTTTAAGCGTTTAAGATGGGCCTCCGCTTTCTACTCGCGAAGGAATTTGGGGTACTGGTGTCTTCACGGCTTATGAATTAAAAACTTTAACGAGACGTTAGTCTTAAGTTCAGTTTTTTTGAATATCTATTATGAATATCTTATGAAAGTTTAAAAAAATGAGATGCGGAATCTTGCTTTCATTTATTTTTAAATTTTTTGTTCGATAATTTTTCGGATTTCTTTTATTTTTTAATCTATTTTATTCTAGAATCTTTATTTTTTTGGGTAATTTAGCATCTATAATGACGATTGTAAATGGTCAAATTCAAATTCCTCATGGTGTAATTCCACAAAAAGATGAATCGTATGGCGAATTCGGTTGGCATTCTCCTTCAGTTCTATCTCAGTGCGATTCACCACCACTACCTTCTAGGCATTCGATTTCTGCTTCACGAACTATTAACGATCTTTCGGGTAATTTTTTTGAATTTTCTCAAAAAATTTATTGTTAATAGAAATTAATTTTACTATATTTGATCTTGATATTTTTTAGTCATCGATTCAGCACTGTCACGGTCAGGACCATCTCAGAGTGATTCACTGCGAACGGCAAAAACTTACACTGTTGCAGCGCCACCCCAAGTTGGTGCAATGGTAACTATTGATCAGTCCAGTCCTTCAGAAATTCTGACTTCCTCGTATCGGCAACTCCATGTTAGATTTTTTAGAGTCAGAATTCTTTTTTTGTCCTGTGCACTTAAATATAAATACAAGTACTGGTTCAGCAATATGATGAACCAGTCGAAAAACGTAGCCGCCATGCCTCTCGCGACAGTATAGGTGGTGTTAATGAAGAGGTTCACCAGTTGGTTGGAAATATTCAAGTGGAAATAAAAAGAGAAAGGGAATCTGGTAGAGCTAATTCTGGGCATATTGTCAGGTAATTTCATATGTTGATAATTTAATTTTTGCAACATAAAGGGCATTATATTTTTTAATTTATACTTTTTTGATGGTATTTATAATTTATAATTTTGCTGCAGTATTCTGCAGAATCAGTAGAAAATTATTTTAGACGAATAATTGTACCCGGTGGTCGAGAGGGGCAAGAAGGATTTATTCACTTGTCTGCCAGGTTTCTTTTGAATTTTTAGATTTTTTTTCCCCACATTTTATTATTTTAAATTTTTTTTTAGAAATAATTCATTTGCATTATCATCAACAAATAGTTCCGATGCAGTCGAAAGTGCTACTACACAGCATCCACATTCAGTGCAAAAAAGATCGTTAAGGTCGGAGTTAATGCTGATTGATTCCGGAGGAACGCATGCAGATACCATCGGATCACATCAACGTGTTGCTTTGCGCATTGACTCGGAGACCAAACGTCATATGATTTCAAGGTATATTATAGATAAATTATACCTTGATAATGGAATAGATTCTCAATTTTATCAATTAAAAGATAAGTTCAGACCTTTTTTAGCCAAGAAATCTGACCTTGTTTTGTGATATTGCTTTTAGGCTTGACTCCGACGTTGTTATAGACCCTGGTACTTATGAGCCGCAAAGGCGAGCAGTGACTGAAAGCGCAATTAAACGAGGAAGAAGTTAGTGAACTATAAAGATTACGTATAGTGTTGAAAATTATTGGGGAAATTATTTTATACTGTGATGCAAATTTTCAGTTTGTACCAACATTATTAATAAAAGAATGTTTTATCTTTATTCATTTGGTGTTTTTGTACTTCTTTATTGAATAATTCGCTTCCAGTTTAAAAATATTTCATAAGTATTAGGTCCAAGATTGATTGAAACCTTTAAATTTTTATAATTTTTGTGATAAAATTACAGGTAATATAATTTTAAATGATCCCGGAACGGCAACATTGCATCGTTCTACTTTGCCTTTCTCTCTAAGGTTTTCTGTTCATGTTTCTATCCAGTCTTCGTTCTCTAAATCACCACTTTTCTTTTTGAGAAAACAGATCTTTTAAATTTGCATTCATGGAAAAAAAAATTTTTTTAAAAATAAAAGATCGTTTTCTTCAGAAAGCGAAGTTCACAAGAAGCAGATGAAGCTTCTCGATCATCTACAGAAACAAATGAAATAATAGTTGTATCCGATGATCGCGGTAGAATGCGTTGTAATATGCCATCTATTAGATCTCTTGATTTGCCAGGAACTTACCATGGAAGTCCTACAAAATTCACGACAGCCACTGGCGACGTGATCAGCTTTGGGTAGTTTCTGTTGAATGCTTAATCTTAAATATTTTTTTGTAATTATTGCATATGAAGAAAAAGTACAAAAAAAAATTTGATTCTAGTTCGGTTATGCGAAGTGTTGAAAATAAGAATCAGCCAAGTACAAATGAGGAACCATCGACTGATATAAGTTCATTGGATGATGCGAACATATCGCATCGTCAAATTTCTGTGAAACATGTGCAAACACACGAATATGAAACTCTTGGTAGGAAGGCTCCCATTGTCGAATATCCTGTACGAGGTTTTATCTCAAAGCCAGATAATTCGCAGGTTATTACTTTTTTTTATTTTTTTAATGGTTCTCAACAGAAATCTGGAGCATCTCTTGTTTCCTTTATGTGGTTATTTGGCTTATTTCGTTTGATTTAAATTTTGCTTAGTAAAAAAATTGTTCCCGTGAGTAATTAAAAGTTTTCACCTTTGTCATACCACTTGACATTTCCTAAATCTGGTACTCTCCCAGAGCAACCCTTGAAACTCTGATGCATTTTCTTTCTGTTCGTTCCTGAGCATCCAATTTCTGTTACATGCCCATTCGTTGTGGTAATTTGTAATTTTTGTAACTTTTTGTAATTTTAGCCGGGACATTAATAAAAATATAATGTAGGATTTGATAGGGTTCTGGGGTTGAATATGATTAATCCCGTATTGATGCCTTAGAGATTATGAAAAGAAATAAGGAAGTTTACGGTTACTAATTTATTATAGAATAGCGGCGCTTTTATGTACTAATTGCAATAATAGGCTTTGATGGGTGCCAGTGGAATATTACTGGACTCAAGAAAAGTTTTAGGGAGTAAGGCTTGAAAGATTCGGAAAATTGCATAGGGATGAAGAAAATACTAATAGGTCACTGAGGAATGTTATCTTCTTATCTTAGGGAACGAGGGGGTGTAGAGGGCGATTATCAGATTTAAAAAATACTTTTTTACGGAGTCTGAAAAGATTTTTTAAAAAATTCTGCCGATTATGAAGCAAGCGAATTTTTTTTTCAAGGATACACACACTCTCTAACTTGGTTATTTTTATATAGCGTGTCATTTTTTTATTTCTTACATTATTTTAAAGAACTTTTCTTTTTGTTTTAAGTTTTTGGTTACTCCGCGTCCTATAGTTGCCGCGAATTTTGTAAGTACAAATTTATCACCAGCTACAAGTAATGAATGTTTAACAGTGATCAGTGAGACAGGTGCACGAAGTTTGCCAACTAAAGAAAGTGGAACACACAGTGTACTTTTTTTATTTTTGGTCGATTTGTTCTTGATTCGCATTTTTGTTAGCGCTTTAATGGTCCAATAATAAACGATTTTAAAGATTACGGGAATTTAACGGGAAGAAAATTTTAGAAAGAGATTTTATCAACAATTCTGAACTATTTTGCAGTCTCATATGCTAAGGAATCAATCAAATATCAAATCTCCAGTGCCTTTTATATCAAATTTGAATAGCCCTTTGCCGACTGCTCGTGGAACGCCGATTCCAGTTTCTACAACTGCAGTTCCTGCTTCCAGTATGGCATTTCACACACCTAATATTGAAAGGTCACCTAAAAGGATTGCAAATGCTGATGAGGATGGATATGTTGATCTGATGAATGTCATTGTTACTGCTGCAGAAAGAACGTCGGATACCGAACAAACCACTAGAGAAGGTTATTTATTGGAATTTTCATTTTTTTTCTTACAAATTTCCATCTATTAGTGCATTTTTTATAGAACCTCATCAGTTCTTAAGCGGCCTGAGTGAGAATCATAATCCTTCTCAGGAGCAAATTCAAGCTACTTCTTCAAATGTCTGCAGCCAGAACAACTTGGAAGCTGTTTCTGGATCATCTCAACCAACGTTATATTTTACGGTTTTTTATCACTGCTTTTTGTATTTAGCTAATACTAGCGAAAAAAATTTTAAAAAGTCGAATATAAATCGAATAAAAATCAAAAAAAATTTTTATAGTCGGTCATCTTTGCCTGTTGTGGTATCGTTATCTTCCATAAATGAAATGATTACATCGCAGACGCCAACGTCTACATCTTCTAGATGCACTATAGCAACAAGCAGCAACCAATTACCAGTACTATTTCTATCGCTTCATTTATAATATTCGATATTATTCGATATTATTATTAATATTCGATATTTCGATATATATATTTTTTATTTTATAATTTTAGACTCATCTTTCATCCGAAGCTATTACGCAAAATGTTCATTGTGAAAACATTCGTAGATCAGCTTCTAATTCTCCTATAATTGTAAGCGGTTCAACGTCAACAGCTTCAGATTCACGATCTACAAGCAGTTTGAGCCACTGAAAAGAACATTCTAAAATTTTAAAACTAAATAAATTCTTAAATTCTTAAATAAATCCTAACTGAATGGAAAAAAAAGGTGATCTCTAGCTTCAAAAAGTGATTTTTCTATATTTTTGTAGTTTATATGGAATATAGATTTTTTTGTAAATTTGTGCTTTTATTTCAATTTTTACTTTTTATTTTTGTAAAATTTATTATGTATTGTATTTTTCATATTTAGTTTTATTTTTGTTTTTTGCATTTTAACTTATTCACTGTCATCGTCAAAAGTAATTGAAAAATAATTTTATCAAGCTAATCTAGTATACTAATCTAGTATTTCACCTCTTCGAGGCATATGATTGCAATTGCGAGTGAACAGTTAGAAGTCGTCTGCGCTGCGAATCTTGTGGTGATGATCTTGCTAAGACTCGGAAAACTGATCCCTACGACTTTTCCACTAATTATTTGAAAAACCGTTTAGGAATTGAGCCGAGGTCATCGTTCAATTTTCTTCCTCATATGTGATATATATTTCTGTCTAATTTTTATCATATCATCAATTATTTCATCACCGCATTTGTTCTCCGTTTCTGCTTACTTTCTTAGACTACTCAAAAAACGGCTAACCACGATAGTTTGAAACCAACTATGGAGAAAAATTTTCATTTGACAAACGGCAATAACTTGCATATATTTCATTGAGTGATATGATATGCCTTCATGCTAATAAATTTTTTTCAATCTTATTAAATTTAGCATAGATTACTTCAGAATAACTTCAAAACAATTAAATTTACCATCGAAAAATATAAATTTAATTATAAATATAAAAGTATAAAAAAATAAAATATAAATAAAATATAAATATAAATATAAATAAAAAAAAATAAAAAAAAAAATATAGATTACTATTACTGGTTAGACTCGGATTCTGCTGGCTTCTCGCTAAACAAATATGCCAGATGGTCGTTTGCGATCGAAGTACAAAAGGGTCACCAGCATCACCAAGATTTCATTTTTGATTGAGAGTCAAGTCTCAGCACCGATACCCAAAGTTAAGCTACAATCCACCTAGTCATTCCACTTATCCTTATATTCCCGTTAGGTAATATAGTTCCCGACGAAGAGTGGTGCTTCAGCGAATTCCAAGTGTCGATTATCGATGGCAATTATCTTATCACTTAGCTACCGATGACGAACCACAGATTATTATTATCAATGACAATAAAGACTACGAATCATATCACTACGAATGTTCAATTCAATTTTGAGAGACATAGCAAAAAAATTTTTTATAAATTTAAATTTTCTTTTAAACTTGATTTTTTTTTTTAGAGAATATTAAATGACTTATATTCACCATTTCTAATTTGCTTAGT